TAGCATAATTGACTTTTATCAATGTGCTCCTTGCTGCGCGATAGAAAAAGGGCTCAGGACGAAAAGCACATTATATATGTCTCGGCAGCGAGATTCGCGCTATATCGAAAAAATTTACAACAAGGTTGTGATCGACAAGATGTTTGCGACATCGCGAAAGGGCGACACTCGATTTCCGACAGAACGGCGATTCACGCAATGGTGCCGAAATCTCAATTACAAAAGGAATATAATCGAAGATAAACGAGATAATAAAAACATACTTCTTCTCTAAACGTAGGTAGAAATTGGTAACTTTTGACTCACTTATTGAAAAAGTATCTTTTTCTCTCTCTAGCCAATCCGGCTTTTTTTACTTCTTTTCTCGACTGTCGTTTCTGGGTTAAACGTTTGCATTTCTTCTCGTGCCTCTTTCGATATAATTGCAACAAGGGACGCACGCCGATCCATTCATCTCGATTAAGAGGAAGTGAAAAAGTATACCTAATACATATATCCAATACATATGTATACATATTTCTCATATAAAAATGCGAAGAAAAAAGTTACACTGATATATAATTTGAATATAAAATCAGATAAGACACTAAGATCACATAGCTTCATGACTAATGCGATATATGCGTATACTAAATAACGACATATTTGAAGCGACATATCTTAAAACAATTCCAAGATCTCGCACTGTTTCACATTGTCTTATGTTTGCAATCGAAATATAAATCAATGTTTAAAAAAAAAAAAAAAAAAAATATCTTAAATGTGAAAATTAAAATTTCGAGATATTATTTTTAAAAATGCTCTTTACATAGAAATATATAAAATTTTTTTTTTGCATATAAAAATTACGATATTTCTCGAAATTTTATTAAATTTTACTCAGAGATTTCTAGTACAGATAGTCTTAAAAAATGAAGTATATAAAGTATATACTTGTAAAATATATGTTGTAAAATTACGCTTTTTAACCATTGAGCAATGCAAATATTCTCGTTTTTAAAGAGACAATTATCGTTTAAAACATACCTGTTCATAATTGCCAGTAATATTGCCTCAATATTGCCAGTAAATGCGAGAAATAATGGAACAGAAAAAATGCGAAAAACTTTCGTTCACTTCCCCGTAATTTGACAAAATAAAGCGGCGGCGCCGCTTGCGGCTTTCACGAGCACGAGTATATAACACGGAATTATACAAAGACAGAGGACTAGTACTTTCAACATAGTTATTATTAAACTTTTCGTACAATATGTACACAAAGTTGAACCCACAAACGAGAGGCGCGTACTGCTTTTTGCGTTTTTTTTCATTTTTTTTTCTTTTTAGTTAGATTTCTTTTTTTCCTATCATTCTTTTGCTCAATAGACTCTCACTCGCACTTAAATATTAAAGGGTTGGGCATGATAATACTCTTTGTAGTATAATGCCCTAAGTCTTGCTGATCCAACGCTTTAGCTTTCCCGTAAGCAGTTGCTGTATTCCCAGACATCGACGCACATTTTTTTATAAAATATTTGAACGAATACACACATATGTACATACATACACACACATATACACACTGATTATCCTTTTGCCTTCCGAACCTTTGACTAACTTGATCTTTTTGAAAAAATAGCTTTGATTAGATCCAATTTTATAAGATTTATATTTTTCTTGCACGTACAACTCTCATTTAATTTTCAAAATTATAATTCTTCAAATCTAAATTTTTCAAACTTGAAATATTTTGATAACTAAACATTAAATAGAGTTTTTTAGATTCAAGTAAAAGTTATTTGAGATTGTCTAAAGTTTAAGGAATAAGCTCATTTCATTTTTTTTTTATTTCAAAAATTTGATTTGTTAAATTCTCTTGATATTTATTCGTCATAAATATTGCATAATAAGCTTAACTATTGAAAAATAATTGAAAAATCGATAAAAATGGAAGTTCTACACTGTTTAAAGAATGTAACGAAGAAGCAGTGGCGCGATAAGCCCAGTAAATTAAACCCTGTAATATATATACATACGTATATAAAATCGCTTTTTCAAGACTCTTTTTGCGTGACCAGCGACGACTGTTAACATAACCAATACAATGCTGATAATAAATAGAACATTATACGAACAATTTCTTGGCAAGAAATATGCAACGATTTTATGAACTAACGACAACAAGAGGGAAAATGTGAAAAAGTCGAGAAAAAGATAGAAAAGAAGACGAAAGAGAGAGCGAATAATGTGTCATTTTTGCGTATATCCTAATTGCACAATATTATATTGCACAATATTGATTCGACAAACGGGGTACAGCAATAAAAAAGAAAAATATTAATTAAATCATGTATTACATGTTATCGGTATTTGTCGATATCTTAAATTATTGACGAAAATCGTTGGCTAATTGGATAATTATTAATAAATATCAAATCAAATCATATCAATATTAATGTTCCACACGACATTTTTCAATAATAAGAATACTGGCAAATGTCATTAACACTGTACCGAATATATATATATATTGTTTTCTTATTCCTTTTTTCTCTCTTTCTTTCTTCAAAATATATACGCATTTCCATTAAAATGCAAAAAACAAGCTAAAAACAGATTTATTTTCTTTTATTACTAGGAAATATAAAATCTAGGCGAAATCAAGGTATTTCCGAAGAAAAATAATGTATTAACTAAAACCACAGTGATACTCGCCTAGTTTAATAATTCCCAATTTTTTTTCATCCAATTAAATCTACTCGGCACGACAATTAAAATGAGATATATATTCTATCCTATTCGCCAATAAATTTTCTCGGTTTTTTTAACAAGAGTAATCATGCGTTTGCAATATCATCGAATTAAACACAGAAAGCGTACGATGTCTGAGGAATACAGGAGCTGTTACCCCTAATGGTTCTTAACGTCAAATAATATACAACGTTTACTGTATGAAGTATCTCATCGTTTAGTTAAGTCTTATAGTATGGACAAGTATCCCTAGGCTAATAGGCCCAAGGTCCGTATCATAATTCATGTTGATCTCTGGAACGTGCGATTCGTGGCCACGAATGCGACTAAAGGCTTGACGATACAAAAATATAAAGTAGGACAAAATTGGAAAATTAAAAAATAATTAATATCAATTTACTCGTTATTAAAATTAACATGCTTGGTATAGAAATTATGACAAATCAGGATCTGTAAAGTTAGCATTAATCAAAATAAATATAATGTCATGTTATTATAACTAGTTTTATAACTTGCAATGATCATGTAACTTACTATGTAACATATCCATTTGATATTAGTAATGTAAAGCTAATATATACATATATATATATATTGATTCTGAACATAGTTTTGAATAAAACTCGAATATAATTTCATAATGACAATCGTAAGTTTATGTCACACTGTATATTCTGATTAACAATAATAAGTCAGAGTTTAATAAGTCAAGTTTTATATTTTCTGATTATAGAGAAAAAGGTGCTTCAAGTATCAAGTTTCAATTATTTATTTTATTTAGTTATATTATTTTGTTTCATTTAATTTGTTTATTTTGCTATCAATTTTTTATAATCATTTTTTAAATTTTATCTTAAAAAAAAATTGAGAAAATTAAATTGCAATTAAAATTAACCAACCAGATGAGTTGGTTTTGGGAAGTATTCTAGTATTTGAAAGGAGATTGTGAAGAAACGAAGGATGAAATGCAGTTAACACATTTGTAAAGGACAAAAAATAATGCCTTCCAAAACATCTTCGTGGCCACGAACTTGTCAGGCGATTAGCGCATATTTACGATATTTTCTATGGAGAGGCAAGATGAAACAATCATGTCGACAGAATGTGCGGAATTAATCGTTATATGCGTATACAAAGAGCAATATCTTCCAAGACACAAACGACGTTTCGAACGGCATCAGCCACCGACTTTCTTTCTTCTTTCTGCGATTTTACGACGTTTCCACAAATGATTGAAACAATCATAGAGCGATCAATATCTCAGTTTCGCGAGGCGATCGATTATCACAATTAGTCCATCTGGACACATACATGTATACTTGCTTATAGATTGTATATATATGTATATATATATGCTATTTGAATACCATAAAAAAAACAAGAAAAGGAGCGATTTTTTAAATAATCTTTTATAGCTATTTAATAATAACTTCGAAAAAAAAATTTTGCGAAATTTCCTCGCGACAAAGAGATATGAGTGCTCATGTAGTGTTTCTATATGTACACATTGCGCTTCTTTACTTCTTTTTCGTCGTAATACTATGAAAATATCATTTCAGCGAGGAATAATATAAGAGAGCTTTTCGCTCTTCATACTTTAGTCGCGATTATCGAATAAATGAACGACGCGCGTGCTGCGAACGATTCAATTCTCCATTTTTTTTACACTTTTATAGTAATTTAATAAAAATGGAAATGCAAAGAAAAAATGCCATACAGTGTTTCATCTATCGCGCAAAAGTTAGAAAATAAAAAACTTATCGAGAATATAAATAAAAGATCTCTCAAATAAAAAATTATCGAAACAGTTTAAATAAAGAGAATTATCGAAATAATATATATTTAAATACAAAATTTATCGTATATCTTATTATACAAAAAAAATTTGTTTTTTTTTTGCAAAAATATTACACATCTATGTAATATTCTTAATATTAATTCTGCTTATTACGTTATGTTGAGGCACACAAATTATTAATTTATATCCCTGATAAAAATATTCTGTTGAAACTATAATAAATTTATCGAAAATGCCTGAAATGTATGAAAATGACTAAATAATTACTGAAACTATTTCAATATAAATCAGAATTTTCATAATAAAATATAATTAAATACTATTACTAATTTTAGAGAAAATTAGTAAATATTTTTGAAAACTAATGATAAACTTATAAAATATTACTTTTGGTTTTGAAATTTGCAGAATTTTACTAAAAATTTTGTTATATTTTCAAAGATTATTTAATTGAAGCTTATTGAAATATTAATATAATATAAATATTAATGAAAATTATTGATATGAATTGATTGTCCAGAAATTGGGCAGATAAATGTCCGAATAAATAAAAATCATTCGTTTATTGTCTTCAGATGTAAAATCTAATTTCTACATAAATAAAATTGTTGGTGAATTTGATAAATTAACTTATTTAAATTTAATTATATATACATATTATTATTATTATTTATTTAATTACGTTGAGCTAAATATCTGCAATCCTGTATTGTGAATGGGCTTTCATAAAATTTTCTAAATAAATACAATTTTATTAAAATTGGTTCAATAAAATCAAATTTTAATAAATTTTTCCGAATTTGTATTAAAATTTTAAGAAAGTGGCAACAAAAATGGATTAATTGATTCAGATTTCAGTATGTTATTTAGTACTATTTCAATATGATTTTATTATAATTTCCATAAAACATTTCCATCAGAAATGCTAAAAATATTCGTGAATAAAAAAATATAAAATTACTAAGTAAAGTCGACTAGAAAATTTAACCACTAAATAATTTAAAAATTCCACTTTTACAATTATTATAATCAAATGTAGTATCTGAAAAATAACAAATTTTCTTTATAAACATTTTTATAATTCAACGATGATACTTATTATGTTTTTACTTTTCCTTTTTTAAATTATGTTCTTATTTATTAGTAATATATACTAGTCAGCCAATGTTGCAAATTATATAAAATTTCGTTAATTTGCGAATTATTCCTACAAATCTTAATTAAATGATTTAACCTCATTTATGAAAATCACTTTACCTTACAAGTGATAATACAACAAGTATAGAAAGCAAACGGCCTTCAAAAATTGTAAATGGAAGATCGGAAATCGTCCGAAGAACGCGCGACGCAAGCGGAAAACCCTAGGATTAATGATTAATGCGCGTGTAAAAGTCTCTTAAAAAATGTAAATGAACGAACCAATACTATAATAGAGTAAAGAGAGTCTTTTGCGTTGCGCGCTTGGACCATGCTTTGGACTGTTGAATGGTGGCGACGACGACGACAGTAACGATGACGACGACGACAACGACGAAGATGATGATGACTCAAAATTGACGATTGTGGAATACATACGTAATAAATACTCGTATCTGGATGCATGTGTGGTATGGATGTGAGACACCGAATATACGAGGTTCTTGCGTATAGTTTCGTTTCCTTGTGGCTCTCTCCTCTTCTCGCGGTCATGTTATTTGAACATTAATCAGTGAATCTTTCCACTTTTCGCTCTGATCTTTTGATATTACACGGTTGTATTTCGCACCGAAAACAATTCCATTTTCGATGAATGTGAAAAGTTACTCTTGTTATCTTTCTATTTCTGATGGATAGAATTACGTAATCCATATTCTGGAGATTCATAACATATTCCTGTCGACGATGTGCAGGTACAATGATAACGGGAGAAGAAAGTAATTGTAGTATCACATCCTTTCTTTACACACGTTGATGGCGAGTGACAATTGCGAGGAGAAGATCACATCGATACGTCGGGGCGAGGTATTTAGAAAATGTGTATGTGTGTGTATATGTATGGGAACGTGTATTAATACGTTTCGATTGTAGTTCGATGATTTTACGTCGAGCTGAGATGACAATAACGCGTCGTCATCGGCCAGTCGATCGATCCAAACTATTGATCCTTCATTCAGTCATTTCGTGGTGTCTGCTGCTGTTTTTTTCTTCTTTCTTTTAACTTCGAGAGCAGTAGTAGTAGAAAGTGGCGGTAATAGTAGCAATAGTAATAGTGATGATAGTAGGTGGCCTACGGTGAGCGGTACGTAACGAGAGTCTTATTTTATCGATCAGATTATGCAATGTGAACACACAATGACGTAGTTGCGCGGTACGTGTTTGCGTACAGAAATATATTATATTATAGTCTTTTAGTTTCGATAAAAAAGTTCAGTTCCCTCCTCGATTGATTTACCCATCTCGAGGTGGCGCGCTTTCTTTCTCTCCCTCCCTTTCTCTCCCTCTCTCGCTCTCTCTAATTCTTATATTCTTTCTTTAATATTTTATTTAAATCCTCCCTCTCTTTTTCGCTTTCGACGTAATTACTTTCTATCGTCCACTGTTCTTATCGTTCCATTTCGTTTGAACGATCTCTTCTCCTTATTCGTCCTCCTTCGTTTGTACAACGCAACGAACACACACATTTATATTATTTATATGTATATATATACTTTTATATATATTTATTATACATTCACAAACAAAGCCCTTCCTCATTCGGTTCGAGTCCCCTCTTTTTCTCGTTGGGCTCTTTTCTTTCTGTTTTTCTATTCGTTTGTTGCTTGTTGTTTGTTTGTTCGGTTCTTTTACTTTTGTGTGTATATATTTATAACATATGTATAGTATGTATATAGGTATTCAGCTTCGTTTAGCGTCATTTTGTTTATTTACTATCTTTGAATTGCTGAGTTCAATAGGAAAGGAACGTAAAACATTTTACTCTCGAGTAGTAAAGCCGCTGCCGATTGTACCTGTAATTTAGCAAACAGATGGATTTTATTTAAAAGGAAATTTATCATTTTATGATATTATTATGTTTTATGCATACATGAATAAAAACAATTTAAATCAAGATTACGATATTAGAATTAATCTTGAATAATAAATATTTTTAGACTCAATTAAATAATTTAAGTTAAATTCAATCTTATTGTCTAATTTTTATTTAAATTTTTGTATAACAAATTATTTGATTAATTTATTTAATTTTAATTAAAAAATTTTTTCTATGTTCGACATACTTGTTTTGAACTTACTTCAGGCAACCTAACGAGAAGATCGTGAAATCGACTTGGCTGCTGGGGTGCGCTGTGCTCGACAAAACTTCGCAAACAGCTCATGTATCGATCTTGTATTTGGTCTAATTCCGAGTTAGTTCCTCGTGCTAAGAAGACAGATCAGGAGAGATCAGGTAAAACATGCGAAGATTCTGATATCTGATATATTTCAAAAATTTGAGGCATTAAATTATTATAAATGTTATTTGTAGAATTTTTTTATTCTTTGACTCTCTTTATTTTCATTTTTTTATAAATTAGATTATATATATCAAATAATAATAATTTATTTAAAAGAATTTATATATATATATATATATTTATAATTTAGACTTTTCTATATAATAAAATTTTTTTCAGATTTTTTCTAAAAATAAAAATATTACATATTCTATGCATGCGTATGCGGAGATGCTTCTAGAAAATATTTTAAACTTACATTTCGCATCTCCAATTGTAGCATCGGGAAGAAGGTACACATTTATATTATTATATATTGCTTGTATTACATAATTGAGGAAGTTAAAAAACCGATAAAGACGCGAACCGACACGTTAATGAAATACCTACCTTGTGAGAGCATAGTGATTACTTTTAGACAGACATATTCCTCCATCCGTAGCCTCACCCGCCTGAACATTAGCGTAACGTACGTGATTTTTTCTACCATGAGCCCTACGTCTTGCCGCAATTGGTCCATGGTTATCGGCCGACCCATCATGCTGGTTAGGCACGTTTGCAACGTATACATGTTGTTCGTTACCTGATTGTGAAAAATTAAAAACGAACTTAAATATATTCGTCGTTTATTCCACAAATAAAATATATATATTAATGCATTTTTAAAAATATGTGTAAAATTGAAACACATTAATAAATTAATAATGTTATTAAAATTGTATATATATTTATCAATGCGAAGAAATCTACGATATTAAAGAGCATTTATCGAAATATTATATTGTATTACACTATTGAACAAAACTTAATATCGTGTAGAAATAAATGGCTGAGATTCTTTTATGAAATTCTTATTACAAGATGAAAATATTTATATTATGTTTATAATACGTATACATAAATTATTACAAAAATAATTACTTCTTGCATAAAATCTGCGCCCGTCCCATCAGTACCAACATTAGTTAACCCATGCTGACCGTGCATCGCTTGATAAGCAGAGGTGGTCAGCACAAGAAGTTCATGCCATTTGTGGGTGAGCAACCTCGTATGAACTTCGACTGGTAGCTCAAGGTAAAACGGTAACCTTTTGGTCCACTGTACCAACTTGTACACTATGCTGTCTCCTATCTGACACAGCTTCTCACTTAAATCTGAATTATGGTCCAGCAGGTCGTCCAAGTTCTGTAATACGGAAGATGTTTATGTATAATCTTGGGGCGCGACGTTTCGTTTAAGAAATTATCACAATATTTTATGCACTTTTATCTTTATAATTAAAGAATATTTCAATAAAAAATCAGTTTAAAAAATAAATCATTCTCATTGGATGCTATTGTGTGTTTAAAGAAATAAATTAAGATAATTAAATAACACTTATTAATTACATTTGCGTATTATATATATATATATATATATATATATATATATATATATATATATATATATATATGAGAGATATAGAAAGGGGAAGATTATAACATATTTGACGCAGGTTGTAATATATATATATATATATATGTATATATACGAGAAATATTCTTTTGTAGGAAAATTTATATTAATATTTATGTCGTTTTAGAATTGAAAAATTCTGTACATTTTACTAAAGTAAAAGAAAGTAATGATGTTCACATACTCTCAATGTGGCGATATCTTGGAACTCGTCGCAATCTATAAGGGTTTGGATCATATTTAGAGTTGCATCCAAAGGAAAGACTCGATCCCTCGAACTGCTTACCGCATTGTCTAGCCTTTGCCGTAAATGCACCACCTTAAACACATATATCATTCGCATTATTAATACATAAAAAATACATATATTATGACTCTCAAATTGCTCCATATTCTTGTTCCATACGTTTTAACGCTCGTATAGATCGTTGATTAAAATCAGTTATTATCAGAAATTCTATATATCATATCATTTTTAGATATACTATATGTCAATATTGCTTTTAATATTTTTAATACTAATCAATCATATTATTATGTGACATCAAAGGTTTTCGGTCGCGTCTACGTGACCTTAAGGTTTTTCACAATGCGAAAAAATTATCTCAATGAGATACAAATGATAATTACGATTCCTAAAGCATTATTCATATTACAATCCGAGTTCGGCGGCCGCGCGCGTCGATCCAGCCGGTATAGGCTCAGCCTTTCACTGACCTTTCGGACCCCGAAACACTTCCTCGGGGTCGGACTCGGAGTGCACGAGGGCGAGATAAAGAGAAAAGAGAGAGAGCCCACCAACTTAGTTGACTTCGGGGAAAGCTGGTCGCTTTGTCGGATATCTTAAAGATTCATGCAAGCGACCATCGTGGAGAACCGTGGGATGCATTCGCAGTTGAAGGCTCAACATGAGGAAGAAACGGGAGTGATGCGGGGGAGATGAAGGAGGGGATATCAAGAAGGTGTTGGAGGAGAGTAAACGCGAGAGTCGGAGGAAGGGTGAGGTCACTGTCCTTCATGCAAACTTTCACGAGTTACGAAACCGCCGGAGAACTGCCCGTCCTTGGCACCGGCTGCCGCTGATTTTCTATTGTCCCTGTCTTTGTCGCCAATGTATCGTTCGCAGCGACGATGACGAACGACGTTTGACGTTAACGATATTTCGCGCGTTATAATGAAGGGGTATCTGACACTATTGGTATCTGGTGATGATGCTCGCTGCAACTGTAGCTTATTAATGTACTTGCACTATGTGCAGCAATTGTATAGGAATATGCTGTGCGTAAATTATAATTCTGTTTATAATTATTTTAATAGCAATTGTTAGCAAAGTTGTAATATTTAAATACTCATGAAAGATATTAAGCATATATTATTTCCGTATTCAATAATTATATCATAAAATTTCTTGAGATATATCTGTAAGCGTTGACATTTTTGCAAGATGTTTAATAGTAAAAATATGTAATGGTTAATTTTAATGTCATTTCACTTTCAGTGTATAAATTACATCACATATCTCGTAAACATATAATAATTATAAAAAGATTATTTATATTTCTGTTAAGATAGAGATACTACATTTAGCAAGTACATATAAGTAATACAAATATTTTTTAATTAATGTGGTTTTTTAATTTGCTAATTTATATATATTTATATACTCTTATAATATATATAGAATATATAATACATACAATGTAAAATAACAAGAGTTTACACAAAGATTGTGGTTTTTAAATATTAAAGTAATTAATTCTGTCTAAAGAAAGTATATAATTAAAATATAATCAAATATAAAGAAAATAATTCTGTCTAAAAAATAGATTTATATAGAATATTTTATATGTACAAAAATTTTTACACAAATAAAAACAATTTTATAGAGAAATTTGTTTACAAAATTTATTTTCTGATGATAAAAATAAATATTAATCTCCATGATACATAATTTATATTGAAATTAAAATCGCGACTGACCGAGTAATTTATTTCTACGTTATTTTTATGGCCGAAAAAGTTAAATATATTATATTTCTCTTCTCGATGAAAGCAATCGCGTCGACTTTGCGACTTTTTATCTTTCACAAAATTCCTACTTTGAAGATGTATGTGATTGTTTCGTTGTGCATCTCATATATATGATGATTCGACCGCGGCTCGAAAGTGACCTCTTTTTAATGAAGCACCGCAACAGTCAACATTTATTCAGTTTTAATGGCATCGGTTTCACTTTTGGCAATGGCCTCTACCGGGCCATTTGAGTGATCGCGGCAGTACTTTCGTTTGCTCATCTGATCGGATGTAATATGTGCATAATTTTTCAATTAATTTCGCGAACGTTCCACTTGAGAAAAACCTGAATGCAAATCATTGAACACATATAATCCTGATATATCAATAACTATATGAAAAAAAAATTATTCAATCTCGCTGTAAGCAATTTTGTTTCCTGAAAATTATCCTCGTACATAGTTTATTAATCTGGTTTTTATATAATGCTAATGGTTTTTTATTATGTTATTGAATATTTGTTATAAAAACTTTTTATTTATATTATTTATTTAAAATTAATGTAATATAGAAACATACAGAAACAATATTTTGCAAAGATATATATAATTTTGCAAGATATATGTATAAACATTTCGTATTATGTACAAAAATGTAGACAAACATAAAAAATTGTGCGACACAATGACATTGACGACAATCGGTCGATTTTCGCTCGTTCTATCTATCAGCTTTCGTAATGTGGGAAACCTTGAGGCTTGCGCAAATTGAGTCATAAGAAAGTGAAATTGTGACAGGGAGTTCATTCATTCCAGAATCGGTGTGAGAGAAACCATCGACATACAAGCCGAATTTGCGATTTGTCTCCCCGTAATTCCACTATTGTTCGACAATCGCATTAAAATATCCTAAATTTTTCATGCAGAATGTATATGTCCTTGTCATTTTTGAAGAGTTTGTATCAAAAGTTTATGCAACAAAATAAAACCGATCAATGACCGATCAATGACTGTGAATGATCGATCACTGATAAATGATCTTTGAATTTTCGTATATTTTATTCTGCGATTACAATAACACACACACAAATTCTATTAGTCCTTTATTATATTAGATATTCTTGCTTCGTTGTTATATACAGATTATATGATTTTCAGACAAAAATAAAAGTATTTGATTTGATCAAAATTATCTTTCTCACGGTAGTATAACATTTATATTTCTTTCCTCGTTTTTAAAAACTATAACCTACTTCAATTTATTGACGATTTATCTCTATAATGTTAACTACATATTTTCTGGTTCGTTACTAAGCGTAATACCAGTAAGTTCGTAATCATTTAATTGGCAAGTACCGCGTACAATGTATCATTATATCATTTCCCAAAGTGCACTATGTAGAGAACGAAGTGCTGCACGCTCCGCGATGATTGATCTAAGATTTCTACGTGATCGTAACAGGTTCTTTGCCGTCATAGATTCGTAGATATCGATGATGCAATTTTGATTTCATCGAAATGATTCGATCTGTATTTTCCCACTTAAGGATACCGATGCCGAATGCGGATTGCAAGTATCAATCGAACGCATACAACACATGTTTCGATCATATAAGTTTAATCCATGAGAACAGAATATCTCTGAAAATATCCGATATATATAATCAATCCGAATAATCTAATCAATTTTGAAAATAGACAAAGAAAAATATAGCCTAATAGATAAGTATAAAAGAATCATTCTTATATTTAATTCCAAGCGGACTTTATCTGAATACAAGATTTAAGGCACAGTTAACAAAGATAATTTTTTTAATGCTGAATATTTAAAAATTATAAAAGAGAGACCAATCAAAAAAAGTAAATGAGAGTGTATAGGAAAATTTAAGACATTATTAGATTGAAAGAAGAACGCGAAAGATCATCATCGGGACGATTTTCGAGCGATCTTACATCGCAGCTGCTTCGAAAGTGAAAGCGAAGATGCCTGCAGGAGATTCTCATCTCAAAGCTCCGGATTCCACTGTTGGCGGCCGAGGAGTCAAGTTTTGTTGAACCATGCTCAATTTCTAACTAGAACTATGCCGTATAAATCACGTAAATTACGATGGCAAGCAAGCATGATGCTTCGATCGAAGCCGCGAGAATATTGATCTATACATCGATCGTGCAAGCGATAAAAGACAATGTAAAAACTCCTCGCTTCTCGTACGAATTAATAGCAGACCTTCAGGTAGAATAATCGTGCGATCGAAGCAATTTTTAGAAAGTTTTCGCATGTATTTCACGCACATCACTGATAATAAGTGATACACATCTGGCGGCCGAGATTAATCTGCATTACGTCGCTGACGACGAATATATCTTGCGTAATGCTCGAATAATTAGGGGAAATGAGTAAAAGTTATGACACGCAATGCACACATCATGTCGCAATGAAACTAGTTCTCTGACGACTCTATTTCGCGAGACACGCGGAAGCAGGCGAGACGAATCGTGCGATCCGCTCTGGCGAATCTCTCTCCCGCTCAAGGCGAATTCGCACGTTCAGATTCAGCGATAAATCATTTGGAATGAATGCGTTGAATGAATTTTTATTTAGATATATCATGGGAAATGTTTAGAAATTCTGCGTAAAATCGTGAGAGAACATTTATGGCTCTAATTTTAATAACAGATTCTTTGATTTGACTTCTTCTTTGTTAGAATATCGACATATCGGCACCAATATATATACAATATATACGGTTCAGAATAAACAACTCTCCATGAAATAAGATTTTAAAAAGCGATTTAATAACAAAGCCTTATTATATATTTAAAACCAAAGTGGATCTCTAATTTTTTTAAAGCACTTCGAATTTGAAAATTTTTCAACAGATGTTTAATGTTAAATATTAAAAGAAATTTTCTATATGAAATTTTTATGCAATGAAAAAGCCCATATTACATAAAAATTACACATTCGTAAGATTAATTTTTCTTCCGATGCAGCCGATTCATCATCGCTGATCATTCATGATCATCGAAATAATCTACGTACTAACAATACAATTTCACTTTAATAAACTTTAAAATTTGTTAATTTAAAAATGATAAAACCGAAGAATACTCACTTCGGAAGGATTGGTGAGTGCCGTCTTCAGGATCGTCCCGTTGACGAGGTGGCCCGAGTGCGCGGGGTGGCTCGGGTGACTTGGGGTGGGCGGCGAACTGAGTGGATCGCCTGACGAGATTTTGTGATGATGAAGAAAACTGCCGCCCAGCTGGGCATGCTGCTGCTGCTGCTGCTGCTGCTGGCTGTGATGAGCTGCTGCTGCCGCGGCCATGTGCTTGTCCAGCATCGTCGAACCCATGGCGCCCTTGGTGCCGCCCAGGGATCCCGAGCCGTTTACACCACCAACATTACCGCCACTCATGCCACCACCCGCTTTGTTGCTCTTTTTGTGCTTTTTATATTTCACCTATAAGCAACAGGCAATCCTTTTTAATAACCGATTCTCATCAATTTACCCCTTGCCATAAAGTAATGAATAACGACACTAAGGGAAATATAATTTGGAGAATATTTTAATGTAAAGATAAATCGATTAAATAAAAAAAGACAAATGAATAAGATTTTCATTTTTTTACTCTCGTATTAATAATTTTCTACTACATTTGGATAAAGAAAAATGTCAGCAACAAAATATAAAAGTTAATGTTATATTGGCGGAAAAATTAACGATAATTAAAACGTTAATAGATAATCATCAATCAACATTTTTTTATCTACAAAAATTTACAAATATAGCATTGTTTACAGGACATAAAGAACAGAAATTTTTAAGCAGTTTACACAGAAAGTAGCGTTTTTGTTGTTAAAACCTTAACTCAGTGCATACCTTATAAAGATTATACACTGCACCAGAATTCCTTCCTCCAGGCATCCGATCTTCTCGAACCGCTTGCAAAACCATACCCTGTTCGATGCACTTTTTGAATCGGCAGTATTGACATCTGTTCCTCTGTGCTTTCGTGATTTCGCAGCCGCCCTCCGCCACGCATGTATAAACTCGCCTATTTTGTACCGTTCTCTTGAAAAAGCCTTTGCACCTATTAATCAAATTGATTAAACTCTTTAATTTTATATTTTATATTCTATGTATATTCTATATTAATTATCTATATGTATATATAACATTCAATCAATAATAATTTATTGATCTAGAATCTCGAAAAGAAAATCTTTTTTATAAAATAATAAAAATAGATCGCTCTTTCTCTTTTTATTTCTCTTTCTCCTCAATATGTAGAACAAATGTACGTTATAAAACTTGTAATTTTTCTGTGTTACTGAAAATTCCATTTATAAAGATAATTATAACACAATTTATAATCAAACAATTTGTAGTAAAATGATGTTCACAATGTTTAATATATGTTTTGATTTGATTAAAAAAGAATTTTAATCTTTGTAAGATATGTACATATGACGTGTGACAGAAAGAAACTTGAAAATTAAATATAATAATAGATTAAAGATAAGATAAGAAATTGTATCAAAAAAGAAACATTTTTATTTATCAAAAATGCGAGATAATATCAAGTAAAAAGATCTAAAAAAATAACATTTTAAAGAAATGCTGCATTCAAATATTTATCGACTTTTACGTTAAAATTAAAAGATTCCTGCGTGTTTTAAAAATCACTGAAAACGAATATCGAGCAGAAAAAAATCAAGTATATGTATATATGCGTGTAATTCAATTCTTCTATATATATATATAATCAATCTATTTTTTATACAGTATTCTCATTAATAGCAAATTCGATTAAATGCACCTAATGCGCACTAATTGCTTTTTCTTCTTTGGTCTATTGGCGAGGTAAAAGTCTATTCATATGACAAGGATAAAAAGAGATATATAATTCTTATTGACAATGAGTTACAATTTTTTCTGAGCGGCAAATAAAAAAATAAATTCGAACAAGAATACGCATAAATACATAACTCGATAAATTTTCATGGTTAAAAGTCAATTAATCCGCACATTATATATATATATAAGTATGCCCTCTCAATTTTCTGGAATCAATTTTCAGTATCAACCATAGAACACACAAAAAACTATGAACGCTAACGCACCTAGTGCGCGCCAGTGCACACTAATTCGTTCGAATTCTCTATTAAATAAAGGTGTTTCACTTTATATTGACGTTCAATTTCAGAGACAGAGGACGTCACATGATTAAAAACAAAAATATTAATTCGTTATTTTTGATCATATGATGTCTTTTGACAATAAAAACAAGCGTTAAGCATCAGTATACAAAGGTATCTTAAGACGTCGCGCCTCTAGGGAATATTCCCAGGTCGCGTAAACGCGTGAAGTAAACCGCGAGGAACGGTCACATGACCAAATTTCTGAAGTACTGGTCACAGTTCGTGTCGCGCGTCGCCGGTGGAAGGTCGATTCGCTACCGCTTCCCGTTCCCGCGTCGTCTCGTCCATCCCGGCGCATTCCGCGTACAAAGAGTATCGGGAGTGTCGAATTTAACGAATCGTACGATCGTTGGTATGTCAACTTGATCGACGATCGCGACGCGTTCGTCGATATTCGCGATCGTCGATGTACGCGATCGTCGTTCGCGTTTCGATCGGACCGACCTCCAGTGATCCACCGTTTGGAAGAATATTACGTATCTCGCGTCCTTCGACGAGCATCGCGAGTGTTATTTAGCATCCGGATTAGCGAGGGACATAATCGGGATCGTCGAAAGAGATCGATCGAGACAGATCAATCGATCCAGTTCGTCTATAATATTCGCGTAACGCCAGCGCGTCCGCCATGATTGACGACGATGTCTTCTCGGAATTTTAACGTCGGTCCAAAATCCATTGCGCGCCAAAAGTGCTGAATTTACAGTACGATCGTTTTCAATTTTCCTACTAGATCGCGCTAGTGAACGCGTATCTATGATCGATATCGACCGCGTCCCGTCATAGAAATTATTGTTGTATGCGCCCTTCGAAGGTGTTTTACGAATATACGTAATGGATTCTCGTGAGTGTGATCGAGTGTCGGGAGTGTCGAATGATTTACCAGGCGATCGTGTGTCAGGTAATCGGTTCGATCGCGATTACACACGTTTGTTGATACTCGATATTGTTCTGCATTCGTTGGAACATTGACATGAGTGACGCATTATTCAGCGTGTTTAGCGTTATTCGCAGTTATGAGTGTTAGTGTACAAAGAATCATCGCGATAACTACGGAAAGTATCAAGTATCAAGGAACATCGAGAAACATCGAAGGCTCGATTAATGGATTAATGGATTAATTGAGAGGGATGACCGCTGTTGAGAGAGTCTCCGTTGTGAGATGTCTGTGATTCACGGGTGAGTCTGTCTGAATTCCTTTATAATTTTTTTTGGAGCGTAATATGAAATTTGACTAATATAAAATGACAAAAATATTCTTTCTTAGACTTCGCAAATTCTCTTTCGCCTTGCTATATATCTCTCTCTCTCTCTCAACTAATGTAAATAATATATAAAAATTTTTTAGAAATTAATTTCTCTGAAATATTTTTTAAAAAAGTTAAAAATTTAGACGTAATGGGCAAAAAATTATTTTTTTTTTTAATTTATAAATATATAAAATTTTCTTATCGTGTATTAGATAAATTTGTTATCTTTTTTTTCTTACATCGATTATAATAATGCATTAATGTGCATACAACTTATTGATAAAAAATAATTCACGTTCCTTGGTTTAAACTTTAGATTGTATTTTTGGACAAACAATAGAGTACGGTATATTTTATTTTATATATATTATGCATCATTTATATATTTATATAAATATGTATAAGCATATTTTTGAACAGAGAATTGAAACAGATACATATATGTTATCATCAAAAATAATTTATGAAATAATTATTCAATTTATATAACCGATAAATCAATAAATTACAAAAAGCGTTTGGGTAAATATTTAATCATTTAATTAATTGTAAGATTCGATTAAAAACGCAAGAATTAAATGATCTTTCTATATCAGTAGAAATGTAGTGAAATATAATTTACACATAATAAAATTATACAAATTTCAAATGTTTTTAAGAATAAAAAGATAACAGATTAAGAAATTTGGTCGATATTCAACAAATTTGACAAAAAAATGATTTGCCTCATACTTTCCGTTTGTAAAAATCTGCTTTTAAATTCCACCGAGAATCTGTTTTTATGATTTTTTAGTTTCTTTAAGTAAAGTAGATTATACATATATTACGGATAGAGGAAAGATTGTTTATCCTAAGAAACACTTTTACGCGCAGCGGAAATGACGAGGTTGAATCAAGAATTTATCCACGCCAAGTTACGAGTATTGTGGGTGTGAAGGAAAAACTTGACGCAGACTTTTCTCGTCTAATCTATTGCACGCTCGAGAAACCAAAGTTAGACAAGGACCGACGAGAGAGAAACGATACCTCGTGGTAATTTAATAGACTAATCAAAAGTGTTGTTTGAGAGAGAAAGAGAGAGAGAGAGAGAGAGAGAGATCTTTGGAGAATATCCAGAGTAAATGCAACAAGTATCCTTCACGCCTTGTGTTAATATGTGCTATGAGAAAGAAGCAAGCATTATCAGTTAATATCTAATCTCATTTACCATGAAATACCATGAAATATTCGTATACAGAAATTAACATATTTCGACAAATCATTTTTTTAAATATAAAAATAGAAATGATATAGATACAAATTAATTATTATTAATGAAAATTTAAAATAAATATATAAAAATCCGAATTAAATCCGAATTTAAATTATAAGTTTTTATTAAATCTACAAGAGTGTTTTTTAATCACATGTTAATACTTCTAGAACGTAAAATATAAACTAATATCGAATATGAAAAAATATAGAATAAATTTTTTGAACTGTGAAAAATTATAAAATTTTTGTTTGTTTTTAATAAGACATCAAGTACTTGGAATATTTTTTAAATTTATTAAAAATTATTCAAAGTACATCCAAAAATTGTCTGAATTTAATATTTTATTTTATTTCATGAAGAATTAGTTTTGAAATATCGATATAATATAAATCAAATGATTGATTTATCAAATATACAAATCTCGTATTATATAAAGCATTGTTTAGTACATATAGAATTTCTTTTCGATAAAAAGTGCTTTTCGATGTATGTTATCTTCAAAATGTGATTTAAGGTTTATTTATAAAACGGATAAAACTAAAGTATATATATATAT